TGTTGTTGTGTGTTTGGGGGTGGGGGGGGGGATGGAAAGATATTGATGCATACATTTTTTTAAAGGCACGTTTGTCAAGTCTCCTCTTGAGCTTAGTTAAGAAATGTTCGCGACACTATTAACTGTAGCGTGGGGTAACGAAATATGGCAGAGCACGGTGCTCACGTACGTACAATGTAAAGATTCTAAAATAATTTAATAGCATGCGGGGTATAATGTTGTGTAAGGAATTATGTTCATCAAGTGCTTTCAATTTTAATTCGACTCGTGAAAAAATTATAAGGCCTATTTGTTTACAAATAATGACATAATAAGCATATTAAGCCGATACAATTTGGCAAACAGTTGATAAATTTTGATTATTTTCCAATTCTATATTTTATTTCAGTGCGGTAAAGGACTGTCTGTTTGTGCCACACCTGAAGCTAACGCTAAAGCTACAGAAGCTTGCCATGCACTGGTCACGATTTTCTACAGATGCCACTCAGCAGTAATTTAAAAACAAACTTTTTACAAAAAATTAAATAAAGATACCCATTGCTATGTAACAGTTGACTTTTTTATATTATCTTTAGTGATGAATCTCAATAAAAACATTTGATCAGTAAAATATATTAATGAATAGTCCTAATTTATTTCTTTACATTACGAGAATACCTTTCAATTCGGAAGCGGGGAAACGTTAACTTTCGTTATTCACTATGACCAATCTTAACTTTGGTAACAAAGGGAAATAACTCAAATTTTCAATTACATCGTCATTTATTTTTTTAAATTATTCATTTGGTAAACAAGATCCTATTAATAAGTCATTCGAGTCTCGGATTGGTGAAATGTTTGATTGAATTGATCATTTTGAATCATTTGAGATGCGCATAGCTCAGGCTCAGACATAACTGCGACGTAGGCATAGGCTTAGGGAAGCAAATAACAAATGTGATTAATCAAAAATAATAATGATTACAACAGTTTATTAACTGTCATAATTATGTCAAATGTGTATTTTCCTTATGTAATTGTCAGGTTGATGTGAATGATTATATTCGCCGTTGCACTGCTTCCTATTGCTCATCTCTATCTGCTGGAGGTATTGATGCTGCCCAAAGAGCGGTTTGCAATGTTATGTCAACATACCACAAGGTCTGCACTCTTATCAGTGGAGAGGCAATTTCATGGAGGTCAAGTAACCTATGTCGTGAGTTTGCTTTTTTATTAGCCCTAACTCTATAAATAATTTAGGTTGATAGCTTTTAATTTGCATTAAATTTTTGATCAAAATCTTTGTTATTTCAACTGTTTAAATTGCTTAGTTAAGTTAATTGGTGTGCTTCTTTCGTAAAAGTTAAGATTTTAAAATTAATTTATCACCTGGACCTGGGTATTTTAAGGAAAACTTGACTATCAATTATTTTTTCACATATTTTATTTTCATATTAGTAATACCTGATAAACACTTTATCAAACAAACCTATTTATTTTAGTTAAAATATATTTATATTATATTTTATTTTAGCCAAGACTTGCAACCCACCTTTCATTTTCAACGGCCTGATCACTAACAGATGCCCACTGACATGTGGTGCCTCAATGTACTCCTACACCAGAAGCAGTTGTCAGAGTCAGCCATTTGGTGGATGTGAATGTCCTGCTGGACAGGCCAGAATCAACAACACCTGTGTTGCACCTCAGGACTGTCAATGCAAAGGAGATGATGGCCGTTTCTATGACCATGGAAAAGAAATTGTTTCTGGAGATCACTGTCAAATATGGTATTCGTTTATGAGATTAACATATGAAATGTAAATCCATCAATCCCTCTGTGGCAATAGCCTGTCTAGGGCTTTGCCTGCCATATCACTCCCTTCCACTCAGACCCAACTGTTGCTTTTTTCCATGCTTGGATTACCAGTTGTTGTAGATCTTTTTCCATATCATCGGCATTTGAGCCATTTTTCCTTTAGGGTTTTGGTCGTGTACCATCTTTACTCCTCTGTCATTTGGCACTCTTTCTAAGTTTCCCACCCAGTGCAGCCTGACTATTTTTTATTTCTTGCTGCTAGTATGGGATCCTGATTTTAGTCTGTACAATTCCTGTTTGGATCCCTATTTCATATTCATCTGTATATTTTCAGCAGAAATTTTCTCTTCCATGTGTTTAATAGATTTCTCTTCTGTTTTTGTTAGTGCCAGATGTTCTATTACAATACTAAGTTTGATATCCTTTTCAATGTTCTTTTAAACATAATTTAATAATCAACATGGTTGATGCATTAACTATTTACACAGAATTGGATTTAGGATTTATTTGTTATAGGTTATTTTGTTATCAAATGATTAGCAGACTTAATACATGCAACAAAATGCATTCCCCCCTATTCAATTCTTCATATACCTATTTCATATGACCAAATAATTAAAACCTCTGGTAAGCCTTTAATTTCGGTTTCTGTTGTTAGTATTTCAAACAAAAATTATTTGATAAAAAAACCTAATTGAATGAAAATGTTTTGTAAACTATATTAAAATTTAAGAAGGGAATATGTGAAACAAAGTATGAGAAAAATCTGAAAGAAGGACGTAACAAAATAATGAACATGACAGCAAGACGCCTTCTTCAGAGAACAGAGAAAACACAAATATAAAAATTAAAATAAATACTTGTAGTATCCGAGAGGAACATAGGTGTAGTTTTTTTATATTTTCCCATACCTTGTTTCATATATTTTCTTCTATCTAAAATGATTGCAGTCTCTCTCTCCCCCCCCCCCCTTTAATATATTAAGTTTTAGCTATTAAGCATAAAATATTATTATCTTTAGCACTTGTGGAAACTATGGTCTTTGGGAATGTAAAGAAAGTCCAGAGAAGTGCTCTGCTACTTGCACAATTCTTGGAGGCAGCTTAGTAAAAACATTTGATGGCAGAATGTATGAAATCAAAAACTCTTGTGGAGAGCTAACCATTGCTCAGGTGAATTTGGTTTTAAAATATTCTAATTTCAAAGACTAATAAAAGTTCTTTACAGTATATTTTACAAAAGCTTATACAAATTTAAACTTACCAAATATTTGTCTACATATTTAGGGTTCTGATATCAGCATCAAATTAGAAGTTAAGACAAGTGTTATAGCTGAAAATGGAGATAAAGTTAGCCCTAGCTTCATTACTGTGGAATATCAAGGCACCACTTCACGTTTACAAATTTCCAAGACAACTTCCCTAATTGATAATGGATTTGGCACAACAGTTTATATTAGGTAAGTATAATAATAAAATTACTGAAATGATCTTAACTTATAGAACTTAGATACTTCACAATAGACTTCCTAAAATTGTCTTAATAAATAACTTGTTTGAAAGCAACTTATAGAAATATATTTTATTTTATGGTACATTTATTTAAATTTATTTTTTTGCTTGACTAGAATTTCATTTGCTGATTTAGAACTGTCATCACTATTTTGGGTTTCAGACAAGCCGCTCAGAATGTGTTTGTGGGGGACATCAAGGGAGGGCTAGTCCGTTTTATTGTCTCCCGTGATGGCACTTTCCACCTAAAAATGAAAAGCACACACTTCAGGAACAAGGTTTGTTTTTACAATTTGAATCATGTCAATGCTAAAATATAACAAACTGTGCACAGTAAAACAATAATTTCGCTGTTAATCATATCTCATCAGAGTGAGCACTTGCATTTTCTGAACCAAGAAAATATTTTCATAACTACCTGTCTAAAATTAATTTGTTATTCTTGTGTTTGAAGGTCTTAGGTATCTGCGGCAACTTGGACAACAACAAAGACAACGACTTCATGTCACCATCCTATTCTGAAATGGACAATGCAGAGTTCATAAAGTTTTACTCAACATGTCGTGAGGCCCAATTATCAGAACTCAGTCTGAGCACAGTGGTAAATATTTTTGGCGTTGCTAAAGATTTAAAAAATGTCAAAGCTTGCGATTGCAAAAATTATATTAGACAACAAGTTTTAATGGCTGGATATGAAAAATTATGTTTACATTTATGGAGTTGATCATAAATTCTTTTTTTTACTCCAAAAATGTGTAACGTCATCGGGTTTCATAGTCATTAAAAGTTATCTAGAACCCTGGATAAAAATACACTTTGTTACTTGTGATTTCAAATGTTTGATTTAGATGCAACAGGTTGGATTATTTTATACTGTCTGTGATGAATTTTAGATGTGATTTGAGATTTTCCTTTGAAGGCAGTTAGGTTGGACTTTCAAATAATGCTTCTTTAAGAATAAGAACAAAATAGGTCTTTTAGTTTTTTTTTTGTTATACCTATGTTAGCTTAAAGATTAGGTCTTACAATGGTTAGGTGGAGAAAGCTTGATGGTACACAAATGCCAGAGCCTAGATTAGTGAAAAGTACATAAAAACTAGGCATTAATAGATACAAGAGTCCCAAAATCTTAGTGCAAAAATGTTATAAATGTGCTGATGTTAAAAATAATTAACCAAGTTATGATTAGACAGTTCTGGATTAATCATAATTTGATTATGGAGTAATTTGATTAATTTTGAGTACTTAATTTTGATTTTGAAGTAGGCCAAACAGTTCATTTTTTAATTTAAAAAGTGGCAGTTCATAGGATTGTGTTGATTATTTATTTTGTTACTTAACACCATAAACTGTGTGTGCCTATTGTTCCACTAGCACATCTGCACCTCTGAAACTGTGTGTGCCTATTATCCCACTAGCACATCTGCAACTGTGTGCCTATTAGCCCACTAGCACATCTGCACCTCTGCCCCTTAATATTATGCTTAAAAGAAGCATTCTCACAAGAGACATAACACTATTTTGAGAACTGAAATATTTTGTATAAAACTTCAAAGGGTTGTATAACTTACCACCTGAAAGGAATGCCTAACAATTTTTTTTCCCCCCTTTGCCTGTCTTTCTTCAGAATCCTTTGTGCAGTAACTTAAGTTCCATCCCTCTACCACCCAACTCAAGGGTGGACATTGACAGCTATGTCAAGCTGTGCAGCAATGCTCCGACTAATGATCTGCGCTGTGACGTCCTACAGTCTTTTGCTATGGCTGCCAATATTAATTTCCAAACTGCATTTACCAAGGAAGTCTCATGCAGTAAGCATTATAGATATAAGGGGTGTTTATATTTGTCGTTAAATAAATTCTTTTTTTTTCATTATAAAATTCTTAAATTTTGACAACTTTTTAAAAATTTTCCTCTTTCCATGTCCCTAGCAAATAATGGAGGGTGGAGGGACTTGTAGTAAATCTGAAAAGAAAAAAATAGAAAAGAAAAGACAACAAAAAAAAATTTCGCTTTTTTTTTAATAGCTTACCCTTACATCCTCTCCTATACTCCACCCTGGCTTCCTTTAAAAATCTCTTTAACCTCCACAGATCTTTGCTGTGTCCCACTTACCCTTCACCTCTGAACATCTGTTCAACCCTACTCTTTCCCACCCCCTCCCTGCTCTCAAGTCACTTCCTCCCCTACCATTATTATCATATTTTGACAATTCTTCCTTAGACTTGTGAGACTCCTGCCAAGCTTAATGTTTTTATTCTCAGCTGTTCTTTATTCTTTGTTGTCTTCTTGTTAAACGTTTTCGGTCAAAAAGTCTCGCTGTTTTTTAGGTCTTTCCCTAAAGTTTAATACTTCTTTCTGGTAAACCTGTCCTCCCCATAGTTTGTTTTTATAATCATTGAAAGGAGGTGTTGGTCCAGTTTTTAAAATAGGTCAGCTTCATATTTCTGAGTAAGTTGTATTGGTCTTTAGGTGACACCATCTGCAAGAGGAAACAAATTAACCTGTGTGACGCCAACTGCAAAGATCACCTCATCAAGAACTGTGAGCCTGAGACCATTTACACCTGTGGCTGTGGAGAGGGGGAGTACCTCAAGGATGATGGAACCTGCGTGGCCCTGGACCAGTGCGGCTGCTTTGATTTCACAACACCTGATAAAGTTATAGCTCCCCATTCAGAGTTTATGCACGGATGCAGAGAATGGTATTAAGCTTTTTGCAAATCTGTTGTTTTTAAATTAGCAAATTTAAGTTTAATCCAGACATAAAGAGAGAGTAAAAATAGCTTTCCTACTTATTTTAAATGTAAAATTTGCATGTCATATCCAATTTATGTGAAATCTATTGTGTATATTTTCTAAAATTACATTTTCGTGGTATAATCATCATCTGCAATGGCTCTGATCTTTTATTCACATAATTTGTAATGGCTCTGTTGCTTTTTTTTGGCATTGTCTGCAATGGCTCAGATATTTCATTTATAGTATCTGCAGTGCCTGATCTTTTATTCACACTGTCTACAATGGCTCTGATCTTTTATTGAAAGGATCTGCAATAGCTCTGATCTTTTATTCACATTTTCTTCAATGGCTCTGATATTTTATTCACAGTGTCTGCAATGGCTCTGATCTGATCTGTGACAACAGCTGTGAAGAGGTCATCTGTGCAAACTCTCAAGCATCCAGAACAGATCTCCTAGCCAAATCCATTGACCCCACTTGTGCTAGGCAGATGTGCCCAAAACCTTTCTATGCCATGTCCGAATGCATCAATGTGGCCACCAGTTCACAGCTTTGCTTCTGTGCGGAAGGGTTCAAGCAAACTCAGGTAAACTGTACCAGAGATGATTATTAAATACATGATATTATATATACAACAAACCCTGTTGTACACAAACTTTATGGACACTTAATATCTTTCCTTTTTGAGAGAATGCATATTTTTAAAAATTTAACATTGTCCAACATTTATTGTCAAGTTACTTAGCTATCTAATAATTTAAAGAATGTGGTATCATCAATTACTATTGAAATTCTAAGCGTCTTATAACCACCTTAGCTAAAATTTGCCCCATATAAACATCATTCTTTGTGTTTATTTAAAATTTTAAAAAAATTATATTTTTTTAATAACCAACTGTTCATGTGTTTGTATTCCATCATGTAGGCTGGAGCTTGTGTTGAGAAATGTCCTTGTTATGAGGGGGGGAGATGGTACAAGGATGGAGAAACATTTGAAAAGAACTGCTTAACCAAGTAAGTGAAGTGGGGTTGGGGGGTGGGGGGACTAATGAGGTTTGATAAGCTGATGGAATCTAAAATGGGATGTCTAAAAGGACTATGTCTCTATCTGTAATGAATGGTTGTCATACATCAAGTTCAAATGTCCTAATCTGTTTAACATAACACAAGTCCTATTTCACGAACAGCGTAACCTTTAATGCAAGCTTCTCTTTCACCTGGTCATATGATAATTGAAACCTATAGAGCGTAGTTCTCTACTGAAATACCTTCTCACTCAATGCTCAGAATGCAACTGCCAAATGAATAGGACATATCCAAAAGACACTAGTCAAAGCTACAGGCAAACCAGGTCACGATACTCAAGAAGTTTGGTAAGCTGGGCACAATCTACAAGTGCATGTCTAAAGGGACTGGTCAAGAATTTCTATGAATTATTTTTAAAATGACACCAGATTGTGTTTGGTTATAATAATGAACAAAGAAATAAAATGTAAAGTTTCCTCTGAACTCTTCTCACCAGGGTGTGTCGTGATGGTGTCTTCGTCTTTGACTCTGAACGCCCAACTGACTGTACAGGTATATTGACATGCTAACATTGAAAGTCACCACCTAAGTGGAGAGAAGATAAAGATATTTTATGTGTTGTTTAGATCATACGTCCTGTTCTGTAAATAATGTGTCAAATATTTAGTTGTTAAATTTGGTGAGGAAATGAAGGTTTGAACGTTCAAATTAAATATTTACTTTGACGTAGAGTTTGCTGTAAAAAAAACTTGAGATAAAAACAAAGTGGACTCTGACGTCAAGATTTCGTTTGTTGAAGGAAGTTATAAGCTGAAGAATCCCATTACAAACCAGGCAGTTGGTGGTCAGCAGACACAAATTTTGTTTAATTAATCCATGAAAACGTTTTTAAAAACTGCTGTTGTTTTGTTTTCCAGGTGTCTGTGTCTTGACCGGGTCATCAATGAAACTTAAACCCTTTGATACATCCACTCTCAGTGACTTCTCCATCGAGGGCATGTGCGAATACTTTGTACTGAAGATTGGAAATGACTTTGCTGTCAAGACCAAACCTGTTGTATGTGGCAGTGCACGTGGGTCTATTTTTAAAAACCTTTTATTACACAAGAGCGTTTCTTGGTACTGTTTCTCATTTTTGGACACTCATGTCTTAGGATCCATTTATCCAAGAAACCTCAACCTTTTATCCATAGTCTAAGTCTTGTGACACATTTCAATCAATCAAAGTTTTTCGGATGTCAAATTTTATGAAGTCAAAATACTTTCCATATTTCTGGGTCAAAAATTTAAATGATTTTAATCCGGGAAAGGAACTTTCTCACACCATATATTCAATTATTATTCCAGTTATCTTTTGAAAGTACCAAGTATATAAAGTTTTGATTGGATTAATTTCATGTTTTTGCCATCCTCTTGTTCTTATTGTGCTAGGGTTAAACATCTGATTTAGAGATAGGGAAATTTTACATTTTCCAATAAACTTTGCAGTATTCTTCTTGTTATAAGTTGTCCCACATTTTTCTTGTGTTGTAATTATTTAGGACACAATTTTCTGTATTGTTATTTATTTTGTTGATTTTCGGAGCAAATCTTTGGAGGTCATGTCACCATTACCATTGGTAAATCTGTTTATCTTAATTTTATTGAGGAAACTGAAGCATTGAACACTGTGACCAGAGGATACCAAAAAATTGAATTCCGTCAGTTTTCTGAAAGTGTTTTCATGTGTCCTCGTAAAGGCAGTTTGAGAACCAGTAAATGGTCTCAAAATGATCCACTGGCCATGTTTTCACAGGTACTGCCTGCATGCACATGATCACTATAGAGACGCCCTACATGAAAGACCCAATCATCCTGAAATCAACTAACCCGGGTACAGTCATGGTTGGAAATAAAGAGTACAACCGCAATGTGGGTCCCAACATAAAGATCACAGACACCACCTACTACCTGAGTATTTACTTTGGAGATTTGTTTGCAGTTCAGTGGAATCAAGGTATTGGATTAAATGCAGTGACATGTATTCCTTTTAAAAAAAAAGAAATATTTTCAATTAACAAACTTATTTTAAGCATATTTCATGTTAGAGGACTGTGACTGATATGGGTAGAATTCATATGGGAAGACCTCGTGTGGTAAGACCTCAGGGGAAAAAAACAGACATGTGACATTTTGCACATTTTGAGAAAATAGATTTGAGAGTTTGGAAAGGCTCAAAACCTTTAAACATAAAAATATTATTTTATAATTCTGATTGTATTTAAGAGAATGATATTCTTTGTATGATAAAAATCAATTAATTTAAAATATTCTTAAAATCTATCAATGGTTTATCATTATTTAAAAAAAAACTTTGCTCATTTTTAAATACATTTTAGAACTTCCTGCAATGTTTTCTTTTGATGATTTTATAATTCACTACATCTATGTTTGTGCCAGGGCTGACAATGAGAATCGAAGTGTCAAGCAAACTGTTCAACCGGACTTCTGGTCTTTGCGGCAACTTCAACCTGGATGCCTCAGACGACAGGAAAGGCAGCGATGACCTTCAAAAGGAGACCATCAGCAAACTGGCCAGGAGCTGGATCGTCAACCCAGACGAATGCACCATGGGTGTTGAGCAGTCGATTGGTGCTACTTGTGAGGTAAGACTGTGAAAGATGTTACGGCAATTCTACCGTCTAGCAGTAATCAGCCTTTCTGTTTTTATACCATCCATACACCAATAATTATATCTCTAACAGCTCAATTAGTACATAATGAATTGTTTTGGGATAATGTTTCTATGAGTAGAACTGAGACTTTAATAGCAATTTATTTCGACAAATGTGATCGTACTTTAATTGCATATTTTAAAAAAATAATAAACATATACAAATTTATCCAAAGTTATTTATTTTAACAACTTTTTTTTAAGTGCATTAATTTTCAACTTCACAGGGATCTAAACGTCAAGCATGGGCCAAGGATGCGTGTAAAGTTATACTGGAAGGGGAAGCTTTCGCTGCATGCCGTAAATATGGTGGAGAGGTCAGCTTCTATGACAACTGTGTGGCACAATCTTGCAAGTATGTCAGCTGTTACAATTTTATCTCTCACCCAAGTCACGTTACTTCTAGTGACAATTTTCATTAAAATAAGATGCCCTAAATTATATTTCTTAAAAAACACATACAATTTAAAAGGAATGTTACGAAAATTAAATTAGTATGTGGAATAAGATTCTTTTATTGATCCAAATGAATGGAAATATTTTTTGATTAAATTGTATGTATTCATTTTCAGCACATAAAAAATACATATTTTAGCAAGACTACATTTTACAATTCATAACAATTTAAACACAACATGTCTAAAATATTTCTCTAGAGTGGAACTCAGCCATCAGTGAACTCCTTTAGTAGGGACAATAATGACTTAGTGATCATATCACAGAAACATAATCACAAAAAATAAGAACGAATATTAAGGCAAAGATTTGGTTGTTAAAAAAAAAAGTAAATAAATTTGTACTCAAATTTCTTTCTAACACCAGCAGTAAATCAAACAAATTATTGCACCAAATATCTTTCTTATTCGATGCTGGAATAGTTTAACATATGGTGTGTCAACATTTGAATGGTTGTGGGGCATGTGAAGGATAATGTTACTAAACCGCCAATAAAAAAGGAAAACCTTTGGCACCCTGTTTATTGAGGTCTTGACCAAACTATTGTTTAGAGAAGCTGTTGACAACATTTGTGTCCAGATTTTCAAATAGAGAAATTCAAATCTTAAACATGTTTCTTGGTTATTTTAGTTTTAAAGTATAGGGTTAGTCAAAGTAAAGTATCACCTATGACGTAGCAGATATTTTAATGGTCTCTGGATGAATTGAAGCAATGTTTCTTTTTGGTGAGATGAGATAATAATAAGGTACAACAAAAAACACAGCCCCATAGCAAAGTCATATAAAAGTACATAAACTCAATTAGGTAAAAAACCGCTGTCCTATAGCATAGTCATATAACATTACATAGGGTCATTAAGATAGAAAACCAATGCTCTATAGTAAAGTCATATCAAATTACTTAGATTCATTAAGATAGAAAACCAATGCTCTATAGCACAGTCATATCAAATTACTTAGATTCATTAATATAGAAAACCAATGCTCTATAGTAAAGTCATACCAAATTACTTAGATTCATTAATATAGAAAACCAATGCTCTATAGTAAAGTCATACCAAATTACTTAGATTCATTAATATAGAAAACCAATGCTCTATAGTAAAGTCATATCAAATTACTTAGATTCATTAATATAGAAAACCAATGCTCTATAGCACAGTCATATCAAATTACTTAGATTCATTAATATAGAAAACCAATGCTCTATAGCACAGTCATATCAAATTACTTAGATTAATTAAGATAGAAAACAATGCTCTATAGCAAAGTCATATAAAAATACATTACTCTGCAGGCTAAAGAATTTCATATAAAACTCATTTCTCTATGTTGAGAAGGTTATGTCACTCATCCAAAATACTCCTTAAAACTCTTGTTAAAAAATATGAACTTAAAATAAAAAAATAATGTAATAATTTTCAGTCTAAATATATCCTGAAGTCATATGACATCCAAGACCCACCTTTTCCTGTAATATATTTAGATATTGTTGATATATAACACAATGTGTGTTGTTTTTTTTACCTCAGCTGTGATACTGGTGGGGACTGTGAGTGTCTCTGTGATGCCATTTCGGCTTATGCTGCCCACTGCAATGAAATCGGAGCCCCTGCAAAATGGAGACACCAGAGACTTTGTCGTAAGTTGTGACCTACTTTTTCTCATTTGTTCATTATCTTTGGTGTGCTAAGGATTAGTCCTTAGAACCTGTTCATTTTTTGTATTTTGTGTCTTCTTTTATATTCATAGAAATCAAGGATAAATAAAGCATCTTTAACATATTAGACTACAATTAAAGAAAACCTATATCCTCTTTAACAAGTTAGATTGCCATTAGAGAATAAATATAACATCTTTAACATATTAGACTACAATTAAAGGAAACCTATATCATCTTTAACAAGTTAGATTGCCATTAGAGAATAAATATAACATCTTTAACATATTAGACTACAATTAAAGAAAACCTATATCCTCTTTAACAAGTTAGATTGCCATTAGAGAATAAATATAACATCTTTAACATATTAGACTACAATTAAAGAAAACCTATATCCTCTTTAACAAGTTAGATTGCCATTAGAGAATAAATATAACATCTTTAACATATTAGACTACAATTAAAGGAAACCTATATCCTCTTTAACAAGTTAGATTGCCATTAGAGAATAAATATAGCATCTTTAACATATTAGACTACAATTAAAGGAAACCTATATCATCTTTAACAAGTTAGATTGCCATTAGAGAATAAATATAACATCTTTAACATATTAGACTACAATTAAAGGAAACCTATATCCTCTTTAACAAGTTAGATTGCCATTATAGAATAAATATAGCATCTTTAACATATTAGACTACAATTAAAGAAAACCTATATCATCTTTAACAAGTTAGATTGCCATTAGAGAATAAATATAGCATCTTTAACATATTAGACTACAATTAAAGGAAACCTATATCCTCTTTAACAAGTTAGATTGCCATTAGAGAATAAATATAGCATCTTTAACATATTAGACTACAATTAAAGGAAACCTATATCATCTTTAACAAGTTAGATTGCCATTAGATAATAAATATAGCATCTTTAACATATTAGACTACAATTAAAGAAAACCTATATCATCTTTAACAAGTTAGATTGCCATTTGAGAATAAACATAACATCTTTAACATATTAGACTACCATTTTTGACTTAAATGAGGATATATTATAAAAAAAGTTGAAACATACCATTAAATAAATCCCCACCATTTAGTAAAACTCTCCACCATTTTGATCCACAGCCATACAGTGTGAGGGTGGAAGTATATATGACCCTTGTGGATCAAGTTGTCCTGAGGCTTGTGGAGTGTCTCCAAACAAGACAAGCACCCTGTGTTCTTCATTGACATGTTTGGAAGGATGCTACTGTCCCGAGGGTTATGTACGATCAGGTGCGTTTATATTTTTACATCCTAAGCAGTTTTTTTTGTTGAACAATTTCAAGGAAAATTGAACCCAAATTCACCAACTCACCCACCAATGCTATTTGCTCTAATTCACCAACTCACCCACCAATGCTATTTGCTCTAATTCACCAACTCACCCACCAATGCTATTTGCTCTAATTCACCAACTCACCCACCAATGCTATTTGCTCTAATTCACCAACTCACCCACCAATGCTATTTGCTCTAATTCACCAACTCACCAACCAATGTTATTTGCTCTAATTCACCAACTCACCCACCAATGTTATTTGCTCTAATTCACCAACTCACCAACCAATGTTATTTGCTCTAATTCACCAACTCACCCACCAATGCTATTTGCTCTAATTCACCAACTCACCCACCAATGTTATTTGCTCTAATTCACCAACTACCCACCAATGTTATTTGCTCTAATTCACCAACTACCCACCAATGTTATTTGCTCTAATTCACCAACTCACCCACCAATGTTATTTGCTCTAATTCACCAACTCACCAACCAATGTTATTTGCTCTAATTCACCAACTCACCCACCAATGTTATTTGCTCTAATTCACCTATTCACCAACCAATTTTATTTGCTCTAATTCACCAACTCACCCACCAATGCTATTTGCTCTAATTCACCAACTCACCCACCAATGCTATTTGCTCTAATTCTTCAACTCACCAACCAATGTTATTTGCTCTAATTCACCAACTCACCCACCATTGTTATTTGCTCTAATTCACCAACTCACCCACCAATGTTATTTGCTCTAATTCACCAACTCACCCACCAATGTTGTTTACTCTAATTCAGTCACTGTTAACCAATGGTACATGCTAAAAGTGTTTCCATATATTATTATTAAATAAATTTCTTTATTCTATTTTCTGAGATTGCACTTAATGAATATAAATACAAGTTTGGGCATATATATTTTATTCTAAATGTAGCTTTATTTGTAACATTAAATTGACAATCTTGAACTGAAATGTCGTGAATGCAATACTATCAGATCTAGATGACATTGACAACTCCCACTGTATTCCAAGATCGGAATGTCCATGTGTTGATGAGAAGGGGCACTCAATTCCTAACGGTCAGATTGTTACCATCAATTGCCAAGTTTGGTAATCTTCTTTTTTATTCTTCTTAGTAATTATTTTTTACTCAATGATTTGATAAGCATTAGAAATTGTATTAAATTAATTTTTTAAATTAGGAAAACAATGTCAGCTGCCATGATATCGCTTGTATCATCCTGAACAATCATAGGTTCTTCATCTACAAAATATAAAACATTTTTAACTTAACTTCAGATAAATTATATTAGCTATTGTGTATTCTTTCTTACTTAAGTATGGACAATTACGGCATTTACAGTATTATAATAAAGTAATGCAAAGACCATTTTAATGTAATTAGAGCCATAATGAAATTTTTTAAAATATGTCTTAACATTCTCCAGTAACAACTGAAATTTTTAAATTTTTTAAATAAATGAAAGCATTTTTTATAACTGATTGGAATGTTACAAAATACAATTCATTTAAACCCTTGTTTTAATTCAGACAGCCAAGAGAATTGTATGATACATAATAACTAGCCCAATTGTAACCTTTATTTAGTGAATGCACAGAAGGAGAACTGAAATGCACAGGCGAGCCATGCAAAACTGAATGTGAGGAAAATGAATATCTGTGCAATGACGGGCATTGCATCTATTACAAAAGGAAATGTGATGGTGTGCCTGATTGCAAGGATGGTGCTGATGAATTTGATTGTGAAGGTTTGTTTAGATAATTTCTTCTCTTTTGATTACTATTTTCAAATGTTGGCTACTTAGAAAATATGCATGCCAGCAAAGGCCTTTGAATGTGTTTCATGCAGTATAAATACAGTGGAACCTCTCATAACGAGTTTAATTCGTTCCAGACTCTTACTCGTTAAGCGAAACACTAGTTAAACGAAACAATTTTTCCCATACAAATCAATGTATAATACAATAATGCGTTCCATGCTGAAAAAATACTAATTTTTCAAAAATTTTTATTAACATTTATTCAAATAAAATTACTTATGAATTGTTAAGGAGTGTAACAACTTGGAATACAATTTAGATTTGAAACAAAAAACGTAAATAAAAATATGAATTTATGACAAATAATTAATCCTTTTTAACTAGAAAACTGTCTAAAGACATTTGTTTTTGCTGACGCTTCAAAATTTGACAAAAATGTGTCACAGCATTATCATTGAATAAATTTGTAGCACGAATAGCCACCTCCTTATTAGGGTGATGCTTCTCAATGTACGATGCAACCGTTTCCCATACTTTCAGCATTTCTCTTATTGCGCTAGAAGATTGTTACTCTGCTTCTTCCTCCTCCATTAATGAGCTCTCCTCCATAATTTTTTGCTGTTAAACACGATGCAACTCCATAAGCTCTTCGGTGGTCAACTCTTGTCTGTGCTCTTTCACAAGCTCTTCAATATTGTTGTTGTCCACCTCGAGTCTCATGATATTGGCCAATGACACAATCTCGTTAACTGTAGACTCCACAGGTACTGTTTCACAATCACATTCAACAACACTCTCTGGCCAAAGTTTTTTCCAAGCAGAAGTGAGGGAAAAAGGAACTTCCCCTTTCTGCGTAACTTGTTATGCGAAATGTTGCTCGTTAAGGGAGCAACTTCTTCACATTTTTTTTCCTCGTTATGCGAATTACTCGTTATGAGAGGTGCTCGTTATGAGAGGTTCCACTGTATATGTTTTACCTGGCATGAATTCAATGAATTTTTTTAAGGCTTATTCTAAACGTTGCATTATTCTATTATCATTATAGTAGATCATTATTAATATTTTAAATATTTTTATGAACAATATCTATCTACTTTAGATATCTGTGAGGGCTTTCTTTGCGACAATGGCCATTGTGTCGGAAATACAACAGTCTGTGATGACAAGTTGGACTGTATGGACAACAGTGATGAGAAAGACTGCGGTATGTTCTCGCTGATATTTTATAAAAGACTCAGTCTGTGAGAAAATAAATGTAATTATTGATGTGACATAAAATAGTCTGGAAATGGTGGTGGTACTCCCATATTTTGAATTTCAATCAGAGGTTCATAAAATTTCTTGTCTTTGATCTCTTTTTGTTAGACAAAATGGTTTTATCCCTACTTAACTAATATTTCATGCATCACACTTTGATTATTAACATTTTGCTATATTGATCACATATTGACATGACAACCTCTATCAATGATTAAAACCTAGGAAATGTTTGGTGAGTCACAGTGAAACAACCTCATGCAGGTGGAAAAGGTAAAAAAAAATTCAAATGTGTTTTTTTTATACATTTTCCATTTCTAGACATTGAATGTAAAGATGATGAATTCAAATGTCCTGACAGTATGCAGTGCATACCCATTGATTATCTTTGTGATGGTACTGTGGACTGCTGGTATGGACAGGATGAACTTGATTGTAAAGGTATTGAAACATTATTTGTGAAAGCAATTAGTCAAACATTTCTTGTGAAGGTAATTAGTCAAACATTATTTGTGAAGGTAATTATACAAACATTTGTGAAGGTAATTGATAAAACATTATTTATGAAGGTAATTGGTAAAACATTGAAGGCAATTAGTCAAAAATTATTTGTGAAGGTAATTAGTCAAACTTTATTTGTGAAGATAATTAATCAAATATCTTATTTAAAGCTCACTTTTGTACCAAAGAAAATAAAGTTACAAATTTGAAGATGTTTTCTTTAAGTTTTATCATTAAGTAGATACGTAAAACCTTTTTAGAAAAAACAACATTTCTGTAAATGCCATTAAATGGACACACATACCATTGCCGCTGGGTTTCAAAAATGTAACTTTGTAATGTGATGCTTACCATTATTGCCAATGTGGTCTGAAAAATGATTATCACCTATATGATTGCTGTTTCAGTTTGTCCAGAAAATGAAACCCATTGTAATATCTCAATCTGCATACCTAAAGACACTCACTGCGATGGCCATGATGACTGTGGGGATGGCTCTGATGAGATTGGATGCAGTAAGTTTCTTTTCCTTTCCATCACCACTATGTTGCAATAGTTAGAACAAAAGAAATAAACATTCCGCCTGTTCAACTATTAGATAAAGAAAAACATAAAATATTTGTTTATTACAATTAGATTCAAATTGTCACATCGTATGTCATGAAACAAGTTTTAACATTTAATTGATTTTTATAAACAGCTTTTATTTTCCATATGAATATTACATGAGGATTTTTTTAATATGTCATTACATTTGAAAGCAATATAAATAATTACAAATGAGACACCAGTTATTTCCCTCATTCAGTTTTCTATATGTATGTTTTATATAGATATATATATATATATGTTAAATTAAAGCTGTTGTGATTGCTTGTGATTTTTTTTTGGACAACAATATTAACGCACAAAATTCTTGTCAGTTCTAGTTCAAAATACTTTTATTAATCAAGAATACAAAGTCAGGCCTTTTTTTTTTTTTTTTTTGAAGCCCCGTCTTTGGAGATATTTTGTCTTTAGTTCCATTAAACCTAATTGTTCTTTTTTTTTTGCTTTTTTTTTTTTTTTTTTTTTTTTTATTTTTTTTTTTTATTTAAAAAATAAAATTTTGTTTTTTTTTTTTTTTTTTTTTTGAAGCCCCGTCTTTGGAGATATTTCGTCTCTAGTTCCATTAAACATAATTGTTCTTTTCTTTTTGCTTTTCAGCCTATCCCACAACTACAGAACCTGAAGGTTTGTGATTTGTTATCTTTCAATCAACTAAACTAAACATTGAGCCTTAGTGTCTAAAGTTCTCATCTTTTTCAGCATTATTTTTTGTTAATATGAAGTAAACCGTACCTTTTGTTTGTTAATATGAAGTCAACCGTACCTTTTGTTGGTTGACTCAAGGCATGTGGAATTGAGAAAGATCATTTTACCCTTGGATGTGTGGGTAAATATTGGACATCATCAAGATGTAATGTAACAGGTGGACCTTAGAAATGCAGCCGTGAAGTTTTAAAATAACTCTACTCAAAGATGCATTGCCCCATGGTACCCCATGCTCAAAAAAGCTGCACAGCTGAGCATTGAATTATAAAATGACTGACTCTGTTATGAATGATAGTATTTTATACAATATCATATTATAAGCCTGCTCCTATGATCATCAGTCGATTATTACCTTTTTCTGTCCACATCGGTCCATTATTACTTTTTACTATCAACATCTGTTACTTATTACCTTTTACTGTCAAGTTCTGTCAATATACCTTTTACTCAGTCCATTATTGCCTTTTATTGTCAATACAGTCCATTATTACCTTTAACTGTCAACATCAGTTTGTTATTACCCTTTTACTGCCAACATCAGTGCCTCGATAACTGTTATCATTAAGTCATTGATTACCTTTTACTGTGATTATTAATGAATTTTTACTTTTTATTGAGAATATCAGTGGGACATAAATTTTGCCAAGTCTTTGCTAGGATTCCAACCATGTTTCAAAGCTGCGTGGCAGGAAATTTTTCCTAGCCGTGACGCTATCTATAAATTTTATCAGAAACTGTATCATATTAGAGAGAGTATGATATTAGAGACTGTATGATATCAGAGACTTTGATGGATTGGTATCATTGGTGATGCAGATTTGGATTTAGATCAGCTGGGGGGTCAGTGCAGGAAGGCAAAAGAACATGGATGTGTCTGAGTGGAAGGATGTGGTGAACCACACCAGAGCCCTCCACAGACTGTGGTGCTATTGATCATGCAGCATGCAAATTGATACCTTTTTAAGGAACCAACTATTGTCCGTCGGTCCACTTAATATTTATATAGCTAGCTGGATACCTCAAACTGCTACCAAGAAAAATGATCCAACACTTGAATGATTTCCCCCCTCCTAGAATGCCTGTACACCCTGGACACATTCACCCAGTCTGGGAATGGTTTGACAGTCACCACCAACTCTGGCTTTGGTGACAGCGTCTTTACTGCTGCTGGCTGGACCTCGGCGAGCGTGGTACCCGGCGTGCTCGAGATAGTGCTTCAAAGTCAATTCGCCCCCACTCTGTATGAAATCAGCTTCACCATCAAGAACGGCGTGGGGCTGAACTTCACACTGACCATTTTTGTTGAGAATGGCAATCTGATAGTTGAGGTGAGATCAAAGAAAATAAGCTTGAAAATCTTCAGATTATCGTTTCCTTAAGTTTTGAAATTATTACTAATGTTGCATTTAGTTGTACTTCAAAATAAACAAATAATGTAATGCATGTCCCACACTGACCAGGATTGAACTCTTCGCAGGCCACATAACATTACAATATCAAATGAAATAAACACCAAATAAATTATATTAATTGGTTCTCATTGATCTATTATTCATTAAATTATCAGAGACGGCTGATAACACATGCCGTACACGCATAAATAAATTGTTTAGACTGAATTTAAATATAACTTTTAAAAAATAAAAAATATTTGTATGTGGCCAGAGGGTTTTCCCTCCCTGCTCTAATTCTTATTTGAAAGTATAATGTCGAACCTTAATCTGAATTTCCATCAATAATTTTGTTTCCAGCAACACCAGATCAGAGAAGACCCCTTCACGTTCAGCAAAAAGTATATGAGTTATTTTGATAAGATCACAATCACCACCACAGCAACAATCTCATTACTGAGCTTGGTAGTCTGCTATGAGCCTGAAGGTAAATACAATGACAGAAGTCCTGTTGGGGTTATAATCCTAAGTATAAAATTGCAGTATTGCATCAGATCCAAGTTACCTAAGTCCTTGTGACTATTAGCTATAGAAGTTGAAATGATGAATCTTATCTAATTTGTAGAAGAAATATCTAGGATCAAGGAAACTGGAGTCTCATAACTAAGGCTAAGTGAACAGGAGTCTCATAACTAAGGCTAAGTAAACAGGAGTCTCATAACTAAGGCTAAGTGAACAGGAGTCTCATAACTAAGGCTAAGTGAACAGGAGTCTCATAACTAAGGCTAAGTAAACAGGAGTCTCATAACTAAGGCTAAGTGAACAGGAGTCTCATAACTAAGGCTAAGTGAACAGGAGTCTCATAACTAAGGCTAAGTAAACAGGAGTCTCATAACTAAGGCTAAGTAAACAAGAGTCTCATAACTAAGGCTAAGTAACCAGGAGTCTCATAACTAAGGCTAAGTAAACAGGAGTCTCATAACTAACTCTAATACATTTTTGTGCTTGGACACCTTAGAGGGAGATTATAATTTCTGAAATTATTATATTATTCCTTTAAATGCAAGAAATGTTGAAATGTATGTGAACTGTGCCAGGTCTGGTAACATTATTTTATTTTCTTCCTGCAGAAACAATAACCTCTACTCCTTTTGAAACAACAACTCCACAAGGTACTTCAATATCCATTTAGTCATGGGCCTTTATTTGTTTAACCCTTTCATTAGTGCTGGTCTCGGGTATCGATTTTTGCTGACTCAGCGTGTTTTGTGTGTGTGTGTGTAAAAGAAGAAATTTTCGATATTTTTCATCATCTATTGGATTTGCTTTTTAACTTCTTTATAGATTAACTTATAAAGAAATATATAGCATTGAAATATGACGTCAACATGACTTCTTTGGTATTTTAGAAAATTTCTTTGCCTCTTTGTTATGACGACAATGTGACGTCCTTGGTAATTGAAAGTGGGTGATCGTGACGTCGCGTCTATGTCATTGGTAGCAAAGTGTTTAATTTCCAGTAAAAAAATTTCATTTAAAATGATTAAATATTGATAATCTTTTTTGACTTGATCAAGACAAATGAGAATATTTCTGTTGAAATTTGTGGACTTTGAAATACTTTGCCTACCTTTCATGACCTTTGTCACATTAAAAACTGCGCAAATTCTTGTCTCGAAGCAGAGGAAGTGTGTCCAGATGGCTTCTCTGTGCTGAAACCAGAATTCTTTGGTACGGGTGCTGATAACATTTTCACCCCATCAAGAGACCCCAGCTCCATCGAATTTGAAGTTAAAGTCACGGACAAACGAGTGCAACAAATTAATGTGACATCAGTCACGTTGAAATTATACGGAATCCTCACAGTCTACGTCATCCTCACATATAAGGATGGAGTTACCATAAACAATAAGGTACATTTGTCTAGTTGAACTCCTCATATGGTAAACTCATCATCATCCTGATCAAAAGCCATCTTGGGCATGTGCTCCTGGGCCTAAAAGCCATGGTGAAAAATAAGTGGGTCTTCCTTAGTTGGTCCTTTTACTAGACACTAGATTTTTGTGTAGGTAATTGTGGTCTGATTGACCATTCCCTCCAAAATTTATGGAAACAGCATGGTGGAATGTGGGGTCTAAGTGGCAAGAGCTCTTGTAGTTGGGGGGGGGGGGGGGTGGGTTCTAAAGGTTAAGAGCTTTCTTGGGGGTCTAAGGGGCAAGAACTTTCGTGGGGGGTGTAAGAACTTTTGCATTGTCCCTTCCATACCTTTTTGGCTGTAGAACAGATATGAAGCTGGTTTGGAAGGTCAACCTTGTATGTTTTGGTAATGGGGAGGGAGCTGTCTGCCTGCAGAACAGATATAGAGCTGGTTTGGCAAGTCACACTTCTATGTTCTGATAATGGGGAGGGAGTTGTCTGGCTGCAAGGGCCGAGATAAAAGCTGCTGGGGCTGGTCACCAGTTTGTGGTTGGACCACTTGTACAAAAGATGGACCTAATTCATTAGCCAGTCGGAAGGCCTCCGCCCTCGGGCTCCACTTAGGTTGCAATGGTGGTGTCTGAGCTTGAGGATGCTATTTTTAGTGAGTGGTTGATAGAAGAGTGATAAACTCTCAATGGTTGTGTTAATGTAGTATGGTAATTCTAGTGTGTTTATTCTAGTCACTGTGTTAAATCATTTAGACCTATCTCCTGTTGTGCAAGGAGGGAAAAATTAGATGTTTTTTGTAAGCGCATTAGTGTCAACTATATTTTATAAACACATTGATTATAACTATATTTTGTAAGTTCATTAATTAAAAATGTATTTTTCTTTTTTTTTCTTTTTTTTTCCCACAAGACCATCTTTTGTCATTTCCATTCCTTTCCTTAACTTATTTTAAAGTTTAACAAAATTGTTTAAAAAATTCATCTTTTCCAATCACAGTTCAATGTAGAATCTGAGATCGTGACTTATTTCCCTGAAAATGGAGTTGAAATACAGAGCATTTTCTTTCAACTTGAGGTTGATGAAAATAGTCAAAAATATGCAAGTGCACAGTATCTTAATGCTACAGGATGCATTGAAGGTAACAGCTGATGATTATATATATATATATATATAAATATATATATATATATATATATATATATATTAGTGACACAGAGTGTTTTATTTATATTCTTGAGGTTGATGAAAATAGTCAAAAATATGCAAGTGCACAGTATCTTAATGCTACAGGATGCATTGAAGGTAACAGCTGATGATTATATATATATATATATAAATATATATATATATATATATATATATATATATTAGTGACACAGGGTGCTTTGATGATATCAATTAGATTTCATATTGTCAGTTCAGCATTTCATAAGTTTTAATTTTTGAAATGCAACATTTTTTTAGATTGGATATTTAAAATGCTGCATTAGATTGCATTTTGGGATTTAACCCTCAAACTGTAGTCGGCCGACAAAATCGGCCGATATTCTCGTTCTGTTGTGTGGCAGCCGAAAAAAATCGGCCGATAAAAAGCATGGTCCGATAGCAACTTCCAATCCAATATTTAACCGAAATTATAGCCACTTCCTTCTATTAATAATTTAATCAACTTCCGGGTCAAGCGTTTTCTTGATAACTTAACAATAAGTACTTTTTAATCGGAATTTTATATTTCTGTTTTTTTTATAGCTAAAATTGCGGAAGCTATGACTGGGCCTTCAGTGCGAGAACTAATATAAGTATTTTTGAAAGCTTTTTAGGAGAGGATTTAAGTGATACTGATGATGATTTTAATATCCCCACGACATCTCACTTCAGATTCTTCTTTTCGTGAATGATACTAGTATTAGTGATACTGAAGTAGGCCTACTGAGGCTACTGTTTGAGCCAGGCCTGGAGGTTGGGCAAGGACTGACTGAATTTTAGTCACAGAAGCTACAGATTATAGATCAGAACTAATAAATTTTATAGTTTAACAACCCAAATCAGTTCCACAGTTCCTTTTTAAATGTTTACTAGTCAATAATAACTATTCTGCCTGAGATTTTGTATTTTGTGCTTGGTTTTAGCTGTGGTCCCAGTTTCTAATATAAATGACCTAAAATTACTAAAATTGCTTTTAGAGGTTTAATTGTAATCAAAACCTTAGCAAACTATACATTTTCTTAAAGATAAATGAATTGGCTACAAATTTAGATTGCGTTTTAAGTGTATATATAAAATTAATGATGTTATGAGCACTTGAAAGCAACACATTTTGTCGATTTTTATTCTCTTGAGCACTCCAAGGTCAAGGACACTGAGCAAAATTTTTTTTACGGGGTGGGCAATATAGCCAACTTTATCCCCACCCATTTACCTTTCTAAAAATATATAATTATTGGGGTCTTGCATCAATATTTCTATGTCATTTAATGCAATTTCAAAAGACACTCAAAAGGCTCTGAAAAGCTCCACACCACAGAATGATGCATGCCACAGTTCGAGGGTTAAAATGGGAGCTGAGAAAAAAAATGCATTTGACAAAGTGTATGAAAGGCAATTCAAAAATAGATTTCTCTAACTGATGTTAAACTACATTGAGCTAAATGTTTTAGATAGTTCACAACAGTTTTTCTTTGTCATTATGGCATTTCTTTTTTATACAAATGAAACGTTCATCTGTGTAATTTGTTCCTCCAGTGGCCAACTGCACTCTTGGTTATTGTAAAGATGTATGTCTAGACACAATTACAGATCTATGCTATTCCCAATGCCCACCTGAGTATTGTTGTAAGTTTTTTTTTTTTTTTTAAAGAATTGTATATGTTTTTGATGCTATCTTCATTAGTTTATAGTGTTACAGATTTTACTTTTCGGTATGATAACAATAGAATTTTTTTTTTTTTTTTATTTTTTTTTTTTTTTTCATTACCCACCTAAGTTTTTTTTTAAGTTTTTTTTTTTTTTTTTAAAGAATTGTATATGTTTTTGATGCTATCTTCATTAGTTTATAGTGTTACAGATTTTACTTTTCGGTATGATAACAATAGAATTTCATTTACTTTAAAAATTACTCTGTTTTAACTCTTTTAGTATAGAGTCTTCATCTGCCCTTGGAATGACTTAAATTCTTGAGCACAAGAAAAGTTAAAAGTCCCTAAGATATGATCAATAAGCTCTGATAACTAGTCTGATAGCCTTGACTTTGATATCAGTGTAAAATGTAATGAAAGGAGAAAGTTAAATTATAAAACCTGTAAATAATATCTATTAGACTTCATTTCAGACCACAGTTGTGGAAAGAGAGCTGTTATATAGCAATTTCCAATTTCCATTTAAAATATTAGCAATAATTATACATTCCATTCAGTTAAACGATATTGAATCAATGATTCATACTAGCTTTCATATAGCATACATTCCATTCAGTTAAACGATATTGAATCAATGATTCATACTAGCTTTCATATAGCATACATTCCATTCAGTTAAACGATATTGAATCAATGATTCATACTAGCCTTCATATAGCATACATTCCATTCAGTTAAACGATATTGAATCAATGATTCATACTAGCTTTCATATAGCATACATTCCATTTACTCTAAGTAGACGTTTTGTGTTAATTTATAAGTAGCCTTAAATACAATAACATCAAATTTAAAAAAAATTGAGACTTCTTATGGACAGTTGTTTTTGTTAAAATATATCCAGCAGATAAATAGTCTTATCAAATATTATTTAGCATTTAAAAGGTTTTTAACCAAAATAAAAAATTTGACAATGTGATTCCAAAAAACCTATTTAGAAAATGACACAGTCATTTATTACAACTATTCAAGACCAGAGCTTTTATTTTGACTGCAGATGTTTAATGCAGTAATTCTATTTTTAACAGTTACTACTCCTACGACCACCACAAGTACTATAGCCACTCCAACACAAAGCACTCCCAGTACCCAGAGTACTTCAGAATCATCAAGAACTCCCATTTTTTCAAGCACAACCACTCTTGAAACACGAAGCACCATAAGCTTGACCAGCACCCAAAGTGCATCCAGTACACCTGGCACCACTGTTATGCCAGGTCAAACTGAATATACTCTAAGACCAACGCCACCGGTGTCACCAAACATTCCAGTGTCTTCCAGCACTCCAACAGGTTTGTCATGTTGTTTTTAGCACTGAGATGTCACCAAGTACTTAAGCTGTTAAATCTTGGTCATGAAAGTCATGTGAACAGGAACATTATAATGACTAGTCTTATATGAGATGAATTATGTATCACAGAAGTCATACTTGGTCATCTATATAGGATTGTAATGAAAGCGCTGTAATATTGTTGTGTTTTGTATGTTCTTATGGTTAGGAGAAACTCAGATATTACAGTTTAAAAACATGTGCACAAATGAATATCACACTGTGTTTAAATTTGTATTGTTTTAAAAAAAAAAAAAAATTTGCATTCAATTTTTCTATTTTTTTAATAGAAATAACAACATCAGCTCCACTTGAAACTACAACCCCACAAGGTATTTCCATTTATGCTTAGCTAAAATTCAACAATTCAACAATTTTATTACACTGTAAAAATAAAAATAAATTTTTTTTCTTTAAATGCTGAAAGTTTGTATTGACCAAATCTTAAGTAATAAGAATATTGTTAATTCCTGGCTATTGAATGAGTAGATTTAGTGTTTATTGCTGGCTCTGGGTGATAAGATTCAGCGTTGAGAGTAGATTTAGTGTTTATTGCTGGCTATTGAATGAGTAGATTTAGTGTTTATTGCTGGCTATTGAATGAGTAGATTTAGTGTTTATTGCTGGCTATTGAATGAGTAGATTTAGTGTTTATTGCTGGCTATTTATGAGTAGATTTAGTGTTTGTTGCTGGCTATTGAATGAGTAGATTTAGTGTTTGTTGCTGGCTATTCAATGAGTAGATTTAGTGTTTATTGCTGGCTTTTGAATGACTAGATATAGTGTTTATTGCTGGCTTTTCAATGAGTAGATTTAGTGTTTATTGCTGGCTCAGGGTGATAAGATTCAGCGTTGAGAGTAAATTTTGTGTTAATTGCTGGCTATTCAATGAGTAGATTTAGTGTTTATTGCCTGCTATTCAATGAGTAGATTTAGTGTTTATTGCTGGCTATTGTATGAGTAGATTTAGTGTTTATTGCTGGCTATTGAATGAGTAGATTTAGTGTTTATTGCTGGCTATTGAATGAGTAGATTTAGTGTTTATTGCTGGCTATTGTATGAGTAGATTTAGTGTTTATTGCTGACTTTTGAATGAGTAGATTTAGTGTTTATTGCTGGCTATTGAATGAGTAGATTTAGTGTTTATTGCTGGCTATTGAATGAGTAGATTTACTGTTTATTGCTGGCTATTGAATGAGTAGATTTAGTGTTTATTGCTGACTTTTGAATGAGTAGATTTAGTGTTTATTGCTGGCTATTGAATGAGTAGATTTAGTGTTTATTGCTGGCTATTGAATGAGTAGATTTAGTGTTTATTGCTGGCTATTGAATGAGTAGATTTAGTGTTTATTGCTGACTTTTGAATGAGTAGATTTAGTGTTTATTGCTGGCTATTGAATGAGTAGATTTAGTGTTTATTGCTGGCTATTGAATGAGTAGATTTACTGTTTATTGCTGGCTATTGAATGAGTAGATTTAGTGTTTATTGCTGGCTATTGAATGAGTAGATTTACTGTTTATTGCTGGCTATTGAATGAGTAGATTTACTGTTTATTGCTGGCTATTGAATGCCTTGTAGTACAAACATGTAAGCCTCCCTTCATGCAATTGCCATTTCTAAAAACAATATTCATTCATGGTCCACTCCTACTATGCTTTTAAAAAAGACCAAGATCTCTCAGCCTAGTTTAATATTATCCTTAGTGCAAAGATTTGTGGTTCTTCCATCAAAATCGTCCAGGACCATCGAGTTATCCAGTAAGGGGGGTGGGTGTGTTACGGTGAGCTTGTAGGTGGCTTGCTAGTCTGATCCATGCTTGGAATAATCTCTGGCACCGCAGGCAGGGGATAGTTGCTGCAGAAGGTGATCTAATATTGCTCTTTTGGGCTACCCTGCGTGTCTCAGCTGTGGTTATCCTACTGGCTTCATGAGATTTATACCCCTTCTTGATAGCTGCTCTCCACCTTGCTCTGTCCTGGGCTACCTGCACCCATTGAGTAGGGTCGATGCTGAAGGCCTTTAGTGCAACTTTCAGTGAGTCTTTGTAATGCTGTTTTTTACCTTCTTGGGAGCGCTTGCTATTGTTAGTTCTCTGAAGAATATCAGTTTTGGGAGCTGGTGGTCTTCAATACGGGGTACGTGTCCCATGCAATGGAGTTGAGACTGCATCAGGGTGGTGGAGATACTAGGCAGTTTAGCTATAGCGAGGACCTCTGTGTCAGGAAGTTTGTCTTGCCACCTAATGCTGAGGAGTTTGCTGAGGCAGGTTGTGTGAAAATGGTTCAGTTTCTTGGCATGATGCTGGTAGACTGTCCACGTTTCACATCCATAGAGCAATGTTGAGAGGACTGCAGCGCTATAGACCTTGATTTTCGTTTCTCGTCTGATACCTCTCCTGTCCCAAACAGTGCTGCAGAGCCTGCCAAATATGGCACTAGTTTTTGCGAGTCTGGCATTAATTTCATCATCCATGAGGACAGATCTGGAGAGGGTGCTGCCCAAGTAAGTAAATTTAGCCACCGCATTAAGACGCTATCTGCTGATGATGATGTTTGACTCAACGTAGGGCTTACTGGGAGCTGGCTGATACATCACCTCAGTCTTCTTTGTGTTGATTGTGAGGCCAAAGTTATTGCAGGCCTCAGAGAAGACATCAGCGCTGTGTTGCATGGCGGCTTCTGAGGCAGCATTGAGGTCACATTCATCCGCAAACAGATGCTTGTGTGAATAATTAGACATCAACATGTATTAACAGTTCTGAAAGTAACCACATGAATTGCACTTGAGTGATTCCAAAAGTTATCCTATTTAAAAAAATCAACAATGATTTAACAGGGCAAAATGAAATCAAAGCAGTTCATTAAATTAGATTTGTAAAGAATACTAGATTTGTAAAGTATACTCGTCAAAATATTTATGACTGCATATGTTTAGTGCAATAATTATACACTCTACAGTTACTACCCCATCCACCACCACAAGTACAATAGCAACTCCACCGCAAAGCACTCCCAGTACCCAGAGTACTTCAGAATCACCAACAACTCCCATTTTTTCAAGCACAACCACTCTTGGTTCTACTCAAAGTACAACGCCACCACAGTCACCAAACATTCCAGAGTCTTCCAGCACTCCAAGATCAACAGGTATTACTCTAAAAAATCTTTTCCTGTGGATTATAAGTTTTGTGTAAAAATCAATGTTACAAAGATAAAAGACTTGGCTGCGCAAATTTGAAAATGATACGTGATCAGAACACACCATTTTCAAAAGCCATAAAGCAGCACGCATTAGGTAAAGATTTAAAAAGGAAACTCAAATTTTAATTTTTGTTTCCAAATATGGTTACTTAGAAAACTTTGTAAGAATATTTTTAGTAACTCATTTCTTTGTCCAACAGTAACAACATCAACAACGTTTGAAACAACCACCCCAAAAGGTATTTGAACATAGAAAAAAATATTTATCTTTAACTCATTGCTGATGACAGTGCTACCTCTGTACTTAATTTATATTCCTGAAAAAGGGAAGTAGCTCCATTTTGCTAGTCATTTACATTTGTAAAATATTTTTTGAAGCTTTTAAATATTAATTAATATTAATAAATTAAGAATAAATGCATCCAGACATGAATTAGGTTCAATAAAAGTATAACATTAATGGCAAACAAATAACGAGCAATGACCAAAAAATCAATTTTTGGCACCTCAGATAAACACAAGCTAGTTATGTGCTGTCCTAAAGCATCGGATGAACACATGGTAGTTATATACTGTACTAAAGAATCGGATGAACACATGCTAGTTACATACTGTACTAAAGCATTGGATGAACACATGCTAAGTATGGACTGTACTAAAGCATCGGAGGAACACATGCTAGTTATGTACTGTACTAAAGCATTGGATGAACACATGCTAGTTATGTACTGTACTAAAGCATTGGATGAAGACATGCTAGTTATGTACTTATGTACTGTCCTAAAGCATTGGATGAACACATGCTAATTATGGACTGTACTAAAGCATCAGATGAACACATGCTAGTAATGTACTGTACTAAAGCATCAGATGAACACATGCTAAGTATGGACTGTACTAAAGCATCGGAGGAACACATGCTAGTTATGTACTTTACTAAAGCATCAGATGAACACATGCTAGTTATGTACTGTCCTAAAGCATCAGATGAACACATGCTAATTATGGACTGTACTAAAGCATTGGATGAACACATGCTAGTTATGTACTGTCCTAAAGCATGGGATGAACACATGCTAATTATGGACTGTACTAAAGCATCGGATGAACACATGCTAGTTATGTACTGTCCTAAAGCATCAGATGAACACAACTTAATTATGTACTGTACTAAAGCATGGGATGAACACATGCTAATTATGTACTGTACTAAAGCATCGGATGAACACATGCTAGTTATGTACTGTACTAAAGCATTGGATGAACACATGCTAATTATGTACTGTACTAAAGCATGGGATGAACACATGCTAATTATGTACTGTACTAAAGCATCGGATGAACACATGCTAGTTATGTACTGTACTTGTACTAAAGCATCAGATGAACATATGCTAGTTATGTACTGTCCTAAAGCATCAGATGAACACATGCTAGTTATGTACTGTCCTAAAGCATTGGATGAACACATGCTAATTCTGGACTGTACTAAAGCATTGGATGAACACAAGCTAGTTATGTACTGTCCTAAAGCATTGGATGAACACATGCTAATTATGGACTGTACTAAAGCATCAGATGAACACATCTTAGTTATGTACTGTACTAAAGCATCAAATGAACACATGCTAGTTATGTACTGTACTAAAGCATGGGATGAACTAATGCTTGTGTTAAGTCAGTGGTTATTAACCTCATTGTAATAACATCTAACAAGGTTTGCCTGCTGGCAATTAGGATTATTCCTAGAGTTTGAGACTAGTGCGGAGATACTAATAACTATATTTGACTAATCAATATTTTATAATTGATAACTTTTTTTATATACCTTTCTGGCAATTTTATTTTCTTTATAATTTCATTATATATATTTTTACGAACGTTTTTTAAACTTTGATGAGCATTAAAGGTTTAATTTTAAGTCGGTTTCGTATATTACCCCTAAAAGCTGCAAAATGTCATAGAAAACTGATATCTTACCTACAAAAAAAACTTTTGAATTTTCTAAAAAATTTATGATTGGTGGAAAAAATCCAAAAAGTAAACAAAAAATAATTGAATTCAATTTTTTTTAACGAAGTGGCTATAGGGACCTGGGTCCCAGAAGTGAGAGGTTTGGATTAAAAAATATTTGAAATATTATTGTTGGGTTGTGAGAGACAAATTAGTATCCAATGAAAGATAATTGAATGGACTATAATATGTTTGTTAACTTACTTCTTTAGTTTAACTAAAATAAACTACCACAAATGATATCCAAAAAGCATTTAATCTAAATGGACCCGGGTTTGAATAGCGGTTATGCGTGTCTGGGTCCCTTAAGACTAAATGCTTTTTGGATGTCACTTGTGGAAGTTAATTTTAGTTAAACTGAAGAAGTAAGTTTAAAAACATATAGTCCATTCAATTATCTTTCATTTGATACCTCATTTTGTCTTAAAAGCCCTACAAAAATATTTAAAATATTTTTTAATAAACCCAAACTCTCACTTCTGACACCCAGGTCCGATTAAGCGCAGCCTTTCCTTAATGCACTTTATTTTAAAAAATAAATTAAAGAACTTATTATAATTTTAAAAAATCTTCTGGCATGTAAAGGAGAAATCATTTTTTTTAATGCCTATATTATTGTAAAAAATATAATTATGACAATCACAATGAGTGCTATCAGTCCAAATAAAATTAAAGATTTCCATTAAAGGTAGTACAAAAAGATAATGTTCTTACAAAACCATTGTAATCATTCAAATATTAGTCTCACCAGTTTCAAGTAACTATCAATTAAAAGTTAAATAAATATTGATATAAAATTCACTTGGTTCTGGAGAATACTGATAAAAAATAAATTATTACATTTTCTAGGCACCACTGCTACAACAACAACAAGTACAATAATAACTCCCCCAGAAGGTACTCCAGGATCACCTAGCACTCAAGGGTCTATAAGTACTCCTGGCTCGCCAAGTACACCTGAATCCCTAAGCACTCCTGGATCACCAAGCACACCAGAGAGCACTCCAGGGTCACCAAGCACACCAGGTTCACCTAGCACTGTTGAAACCCCAAGCACACCAGGATCACCAAGTACACCAGAATCTCCAAGCACACCTGGTTCACCAAGTACTCCAGGCTCATCAAGCACACCAGAGTCTCCCAGTACACCAGGGTCACCAAGTACTCCAAGTTCTATAAGTACTCCTGGCTCACCAAGTACACCTGAATCAGTAGGCACTCCTGGATCACCAAGCACACCAGAGAGCACTCCAGGGTCACCAAGCACACCAGGTTCACCTAGCACTGTTGAAAGCCCAAGCACACCAGGATCACCAAGTACACCAGAATCTCCAAGCACACCTGTTTCACCAAGTACTCCAGGCTCATCAAGCACGCCAGAGTCTCCCAGTACACCAGGGTCACCAAGTACTCCAAGTTCTATAAGTACTCCTGGCTCACCAAGTACACCTGAATCAGTAGGCACTCCTGGATCACCAAGCACACCAGAGAGCACTCCCGGGTCACCAAGCACACCAGGTTCACCTAGCACTGTTGAAAGCCCAAGCACACCAGGATCACCAAGTACACCAGAATCTCCAAGCACACCTGGTTCACCAAGTACTCCAGGCTCATCAAGCACACCAGAGTCTCCCAGTACACCAGGGTCACCAAGTACTCCAAGTTCTATAAGTACTCCTGGCTCACCAAGTACACCTGAATCAGTAGGCACTCCTGGATCACCAAGCACACCAGAGAGCACTCCAGGGTTGTTCACCTAGCACTGTTGAAAGCCCAAGCACACCAGGATCACCAAGTACACCAGAATCTCCAAGCACACCTGGTTCACCAAGTACTCCAGGCTCATCAAGCACACCAGAGTCTCCCAGTACACCAGGGTCACCAAGTACTCCAAGTTCTATAAGTACTCCTGGCTCACCAAGTACACCTGAATCAGTAGGCACTCCTGGATCACCAAGCACACCAGAGAGCACTCCAGGGTCACCAAGCACACCAGGTTCACCTAGCACTGTTGAAAGCCCAAGCACACCAGGATCACCAAGTACACCAGAATCTCCAAGCACACCTGGTTCACCAAGTACTCCAGGCTCATCAAGCACGCCAGAGTCTCCCAGTACACCAGGGTCACCAAGTACTCCAAGTTCTATAAGTACTCCTGGCTCACCAAGTACACCTGAATCAGTAGGCACTACTGGATCACCAAGCACACCAGAGAGCACTCCCGGGTCACCAAGCACACCAGGTTCACCTAGCACTGTTGAAAGCCCAAGCACACCAGGATCACCAAGTACACCAGAATCTCCAAGCACACCTGGTTCACCAAGTACTCCAGGCTCATCAAGCACACCAGAGTCTCCCAGTACACCAGGGTCACCAAGTACTCCAAGTTCTATAAGTACTCCTGGCTCACCAAGTACACCTGAATCAGTAGGCACTCCTGGATCACCAAGCACACCAGAGAGCACTCCAGGGTCACCAAGCACACCAGGTTCACCTAGCACTGTTGAAACCCCAAGCACACCAGGATCACCAAGTACACCAGAATCTCCAAGCACACCTGGTTCACCAAGTACTCCAGGCTCATCAAGCACACCAGAGTCTCCCAGTACACCAGGGTCACCAAGTACTCCAAGTTCTATAAGTACTCCTGGCTCACCAAGTACACCTGAATCAGTAGGCACTCCTGGATCACCAAGCACACCAGAGAGCACTCCAGGGTCACCAAGCACACCAGGTTCACCTAGCACTGTTGAAACCCCAAGCACACCAGGATCACCAAGTACACCAGAATCTCCAAGCACACCTGGTTCACCAAGTACTCCAGGCTCATCAAGCACACCAGAGTCTCCCAGTACACCAGGGTCACCAAGTACTCCAAGTTCTATAAGTACTCCTGGCTCACCAAGTACACCTGAATCAGTAGGCACTCCTGGATCACCAAGCACACCAGAGAGCACTCCAGGGTCACCAAGCACACCAGGTTCACCTAGCACTGTTGAAACCCCAAGCACACCAGGATCACCAAGTACACCAGAATCTCCAAGCACACCTGGTTCACCAAGTACTCCAGGCTCATCAAGCACACCAGAGTCTCCCAGTACACCAGGGTCACCAAGTACTCCAAGTTCTATAAGTACTCCTGGCTCACCAAGTACACCTGAATCAGTAGGCACTCCTGGATCACCAAGCACACCAGAGAGCACTCCAGGGTCACCAAGCACACCAGGTTCACCTAGCACTGTTGAAACCCCAAGCACACCAGGATCACCAAGTACACCAGAATCTCCAAGCACACCTGGTTCACCAAGTACTCCAGGCTCATCAAGCACACCAGAGTCTCCCAGTACACCAGGGTCACCAAGTACTCCAAGTTCTATAAGTACTCCTGGCTCACCAAGTACACCTGAATCAGTAGGCACTCCTGGATCACCAAGCACACCAGAGAGCACTCCAGGGTCACCAAGCACACCAGGTTCACCTAGCACTGTTGAAACCCCAAGCACACCAGGATCACCAAGTACACCAGAATCTCCAAGCACACCTGGTTCACCAAGTACTCCAGGCTCATCAAGCACACCAGAGTCTCCCAGTACACCAGGGTCACCAAGTACTCCAAGTTCTATAAGTACTCCTGGCTCACCAAGTACACCTGAATCAGTAGGCACTCCTGGATCACCAAGCACACCAGAGAGCACTCCAGGGTCACCAAGCACACCAGGTTCACCTAGCACTGTTGAAACCCCAAGCACACCAGGATCACCAAGTACACCAGAATCTCCAAGCACACCTGGTTCACCAAGTACTCCAGGCTCATCAAGCACACCAGAGTCTCCCAGTACACCAGGGTCACCAAGTACTCCAAGTTCTATAAGTACTCCTGGCTCACCAAGTACACCTGAATCAGTAGGCACTCCTGGATCACCAAGCACACCAGAGAGCACTCCAGGGTCACCAAGCACACCAGGTTCACCTAGCACTGTTGAAACCCCAAGCACACCAGGATCACCAAGTACACCAGAATCTCCAAGCACACCTGGTTCACCAAGTACTCCAGGCTCATCAAGCACACCAGAGTCTCCCAGTACACCAGGGTCACCAAGTACTCCAAGTTCTATAAGTACTCCTGGCTCACCAAGTACACCTGAATCAGTAGGCACTCCTGGATCACCAAGCACACCAGAGAGCACTCCAGGGTCACCAAGCACACCAGGTTCACCTAGCACTGTTGAAACCCCAAGCACACCAGGATCACCAAGTACACCAGAATCTCCAAGCACACCTGGTTCACCAAGTACTCCAGGCTCATCAAGCACACCAGAGTCTCCCAGTACACCAGGGTCACCAAGTACTCCAAGTTCTATAAGTACTCCTGGCTCACCAAGTACACCTGAATCAGTAGGCACTCCTGGATCACCAAGCACACCAGAGAGCACTCCAGGGTCACCAAGCACACCAGGTTCACCTAGCACTGTTGAAAGCCCAAGCACACCAGGATCACCAAGTACACCAGAATCTCCAAGCACACCTGGTTCACCAAGTACTCCAGGCTCATCAAGCACACCAGAGTCTCCCAGTACACCAGGGTCACCAAGTACTCCAAGCTCTATAAGTACTCCTGGCTCACCAAGTACACCAGAATTATCAAGCACTTCAATTACTCCTTTATCATCGAATCCTACACCAACTGTTGCCATTAGTCCTCCTACAGGCACTTCAACTGGTAGGTTGTTTTTTTTTATGTTATATTCATATTGTCTGATTTACATTTTAAACAAAAAATTATTTTTTTCATGTTTTAACAAATTTTTAAAACTTTACCATGGCTTCTATTTGATTTTGTTTCTTTTTATGCCCATTAAATTCTCTTTAGCTGCGACACCTTGCAGAGTATTCAATTCAACTCTTGATGATTATTACTTCTCTTCATCATTGGAAGTTTTTCTTTACCCACTGATTTCAAAAGTACCAGATTATGTTGGTCAAATATTTGTCAGCGGCTTAAAACCTGGACAAGAGGCATTGATTATATTTGGTCCTGATTACAATAACATGAATGTAAGTAACCTACGGTAACCTCTTACATTTTATCTTTAAAAACCTGATTACCACACTTGGCAAGAAGAACATTATTTACCACATATGGCATGAAGTACATAATTATCACACTTGGCATGAAGCACATTATTACGACACTTGACCTGTACCGCATTATTAACACACTTGAGATATAGCGCATTATTTTCTTGATTTGTTTTTAATTTCTCTCAATGTTTCAAATTATCATAAGTGTGAAGATCCTCAGTTTACTTACACTTTTATGTATCATATGGTTGGCTAAGTTGCTGGATGATCAGATGGTTGAGAGGTAGGCATAATTATTTATATCAGCTGATTGGCTGAGTCAAGAGATGTTCAGATTATTGAGGTTGAAGCATACTTATAGGTAACCAGAAGGTTGGCTGAGTCAGGAGATATTCAGATTGTTGAGGTGGAAGCATACTTATCGGTAACCAGATGGTGGGTTTACTCAGGAGATGTTCAGATTATTGAGGGGGAAACATACTTATAGGTAACCAGAATGGTTGGCTGAGTCAGGAGCTGTTCAGAATTGGGAGGTGGAAGCATACCCATAGGTAACTAGATGGTGGGCTGAGTCAGGAGATGCTCAGAGTGTTGAGGTGGAAGCATACTTACTGATAAGTAACCAGATGGTTGGCTGAGTCAGGAGATGTTTAGATTGTTGAGATGGAAGCATACTTATAGGTAACCAGATGGTGGGCTGAGTCAGGAAATGTTCAGATTGTTGTGATGGATGCATAATTATTTTTTGTGAGTTGGCTGATTTAGTCTGGAGATCTTGTGGGTCTTGAGAAGGAAACATACTTGTTTGTATCAGCTAATTGGCTGAGTCAGGAGATGTTCGGGTTTTTGCATTGTTCAGATGTTGTTCAATGTTGCCACAAAGAAATTCTCCAAATTTCTTCCTTAACTTTACTAGCAATAAGACTTTTGTTAAAATGTCTTAATTTAAAATCAACAATCATGAGTGTCGCTTTGTCTTAAAATAAATATTTGTGAATGCTTTTGCTGTGAAAGTTATTCTATTTCTTATCTTTCTTTAGCACTTTATATTATTGTCTTTTAGTTCTATGAAACCATTTGGTTTTTATGTCTTGTATTAGTCTCACCACTGATGTCTTTTATTACTCTTACAAGTGATGTCTTGTATTAATGCTACTAACAATGTTTTGTATAAGTCTCACCACTGATGTCTTTTGTAAGTCTTTTACCAATGTCTTGTTTTAGTCTTGCTACCAAACAACTTTATTATTTTTATATTTCTTTGAATACATTTCGTTTTTTCTGTCTTGTATTAATTTCACCATGTATGTCTTTTACTAGTCTCACCACCAATGTCTTGTATTGGCCTCATCACCAATGTCTTGTACTAGTTTTATCACCACAGGCTTTTATTAGTCTTATCATCAAGCCATTGATGGATACTTAATTTATTTACTTTATTTAGCTAACATCATATGGCCACCTCAATTGCCAATTTGACAACATAGTTTGCTTAAATGCTATTTGTGTGTTAAAGCATATTGCAAATTCAGTTGTTTACTTTTGTAATTGCAGGTTTTGATCGGTGATGGTCATAATAAAGCTACAACTATAACTTCAAGTTAGTACTTATTTTTTAAAATGTATAATTGTGATTATTAACTTTTCCACCTGAAGGATTTAGTGAAGTAAAGGATCATTTTTCTTAACAACAACTCCTCTCACTACAATATGCAGAAAGGATAAAGTAGGTCTAGTGGACTAAACTTCATGCTCGTTTGAACCTTCGTCTTGACCAAGACAGCAGTTTTGACACGGCTGCCATCTCTTACTCACTCTAAAAAATACTTTTTCATTATAATATCATTTATTTTTAACAAAAATATTTATAAATTATTTTAATGGTAGATTTTGTTAGGGCACCCTAAATTCTCCCCAACCCCTCAATTATTGGTTGTAGAAATTTGACCTTTAAAAAAAAATGGATTATGTACCTAATAGCAGGGTCATTTTTACGTGATGTTGATATTGTAAATTTCAGTTCACAGTTAAACTTTTTTTATAACTACTGACAAAGCTATACTTTGTCCTGTATCACAGTGATACAAATCTCCACTAGCTCATCAGTTATCATTCTCATGTATTATTTTATGAAACTCAAAGCGACCATAGGAGTCCTACTGTATTGTATTTGTTTATTTTAAACTAGCTATAGCATGCCAAACATTGGCGACAGCAATGCATGAACTTCCCATCTACTAAAGTTACTTGACAAAAACATGAACTGACTTTACGCACATTTAAGAATGCCAATTTTGCTACACCCCTTCCCCCACCCCCCTTTTTCATGATACAGCACACTTTTTATGGTAATTATTTAAAAAAATTAATTTGATTGGAACCTTATCCTATGTAAACTTCAAGTGTAAAAAGCTTAAATTTTCAAAAAAGTTGTGTAGTCATGCTTTTTTTTTTTTTTTTTTTAAATAAAAAAATTATGCTTAAATTTTCAAAAAAGTTGTGTAGTCATGCTTTTTTTTTTTTTTTTTTTAAATAAAAAAATTATATAATGCTCTTTTTATTATCCTGATATACATAAGATCCAGGGAAGTCTTGGATAGTTGGCATTCCTCTATTGTCAAATTTTTAATGTTAAATTTTCTTGCAAACTTACAAACAATTATTTGGTGCTTTATAAATAATTGGGGAAATTTAAAAAAATAAAAATTAATAAATTAATGTTCTGCTTTCTACTGAAGCAATAAATATAAAAGATTTTTTAAGAATGATGCTAATAAGTTATTTGAGATTGAAAGAAATAACAAATTTAGTGAAGTTTTTACTGACAATTGATCTACTGTGTTGATAGCAAGGATATCTTTTAAATGATTGGTTTGTTAACAAATTTATCAAATAAAATTAATTGAATTTTCAAGTTTGAATTCTTCCCCCATCATTACAAATTTGTCTCACAATTTAGACACCCTCATAATAAATCATTAAAAATTCATGACCCCCCCATAGCTATGTGATGTGAGGTCCTTATTGGATGATGCCTTTCCAAAATGGGATGAAGCAACTATAGCCTACCTGTTATTGTTTGTATCTATAGATAGGAAACTTATTCCTGCAGACAGTTTTACCGGTTTCCCATTTTTTTTTAAATTTTGAAAGTAGATCATTTGAAGAAAGGAAATTTACCTAACTTAAAATATTGAAGTCAATATCTAAATTGATATCTTTTTTTCAGCTGATGATCTGGAAGCTACAATACAAACGTACAAAGGTGTGTAGCCAAATCCATTACACAATCTTGTTTTAAGTTATAAAACCCTTAAGTTATAGTCTGCCATGTCAGGTGAAGCATTAAAGTTATATTAAAAAGTGTCTCCTAAAAATTACTTTTAAATGAGTCATGATTTTACAGTAATTCAGAGGTTCCCAAATTTTTTTGGAGTCACTCTTCTACATCAAGGGTTGCTCAAGGCCCTATGTCAAATTCTAACAAGTACACTGCCAAATTTTGTTTTCTTTACACGGATTGCTGAAGACCCAAAATCAATCAAATAACCACTGGTGAATGGAAGTCTCTGAGCTTTAGCACACAGAGGAGAAAATTCTTATCTAGGGATTTTCAAAATTCAGTAAATTCCTAGTTTAGCTATTTGTTTCAATATATATCACTGGATACCTCAATAAGATTCACTTTTTCTGCTGTAGTAAATTCTGATGGATCACTGGCATTAAATGGATTTTGAATCCATGGAAATTTATCTAAATTTTTAATTTGAAAATATTTCTCATACTAGTTGATAAGCTGTAAAAAAAAAGTGCTCTTCAAAAATGGATTTTACATTAGGAGCGAAGTCAACACCATCGAATTTCAACAACTATTATGTCTATTTTTCATTTCCTTAGTTTTGCTAATTTCCAATTTAAATGAAAATATTCCTACCTTGCAAGAAGGTACATTCAGCACTAAGACCCTCCAAAACCAAAAAAACAATATTCATACAAAAGGAATTGAAAAACCTAACTATTATATAACTATATATTTTTAAAAGCTTCTGAAAACATTCATCACTAAATGAGATCCTGGTTTGCACTAAGCCTACTAGATGTCTCATAATTTTTCATTAGGAAATTTGTGAACACTTTGAGGAGGCACACAGTTTGGGAACCTCTTTCCTAATCTCTTAAATATTTTATACTGGAAGTAATAGCTAGTAGTTTTAAGTATTGAAGTCAATTTCAGACCAAAACTTTATTCAATGAGGATGGCATGATAACTTTTACAATTTAGAAAGAAGGCAGGTGCTATTTTCTCTAAATGTGTTGTACACAGAAGGTGCTATCTTCTCTAAATGTGTTGTACACATAACAGGTGCTATATTTTCTAAATGTCTTACACAAAGGATGTTGCTCATGTTTAAAACAATATGGTTTTTATTGACAGATTTGATAAAACCATATGAGATATTCAGAATAAGTTCAGAGACAGCATTATTCCTGTTCCACACAACTCCTGGTTTGTCTGTTGATAAACAAGTTTCTGCTCCTGTCTATGATATACAGGTAATTCTTATCTTATTTTGCTCAGATTAACTTGAAACACTTAGTTTTTCGAGGAATATAGATTCAGCCACCTCTGCCAAAAGAAAAAGGATCATAAAAATGATGTCTGGTATGAGGCCTACTGGAAAGAGATAGACCTTTTGTCTGAGGAAAAAGAGAAAAGCCTACCTGGCCTACAAGTGTGTACCTAGTGCTGGTAAGTTCCAGGCTCTCAGGATTGCAAAGAAGGTAACCTTAAAGCCTGCCTGCTCTTGTGGCAACACTTACTGTAAGTACCTTTGCAATAGTTTACAGTTGACTTCAACAAATGAAATCCAAAAGGTATCAAGAGGGAAAAAGGTCAAAGACTGCACCCCTTAAGTCCAAGAAAGACCAAGTTTTAATGAACCGAAACAATCAGCTGTGGTGTTTATTCAAGCTTTATCTTGAACTGTACACAACAACAACTGTAGTCTGAAACTGTACTGGACATTATCCCTGTCATGCCAATAAAATGGAAGACTTAAAGATGAACCAACTCTGAATGAGCCAATGGCCAATTGATTACCTTGCTGCTGGGTAAAGCCTGGGAGTGACAGCATCTCTCCTGATGTCCTCAAAATTTGAAAACCAATTCTGCTTCACTCTTGAATTTGTTCCTCTAGCTGTGCTAGGAAAAAGGATACATTCCTGAGGACATGCAACACGCCAAAATCGTGACCTGATGCAAAAGTAAAGGAGACCGTACAGACTAATTATTACCCAGTAATTTCTCTCCTTAGCATGGAAAGACTTTTCATCTTAAGTCCTTGCAGGCATCTACCCAGAGTCCAATTGTGGAGGTGGTCATTCAACTGTAGACATGCTCTCATTTAGAGACCGACCGAAAGTGATTTTCTGATTTCGGCCGAAGCCGAAAATAGGCCGAAAGTTTAGAAATGACTTTCGGCCGAGACCGAAAAAAGGCCGAAATTTAAAAATGAATTTTGTCCGAAACCGAAAATGAAATGTTAAGATATTTTGAAATTTGTTCCCGCATACATTCTGCATACATCGAAAATGATGTGGGGAAAGTATAAATATTTATATTCTTTTTATAAAAATGAGATAATCGTGAATATTAATAAATAACCATCTAATATAAGGGTCTCAATATAATATAAGAGCCATTTGTGACCCGCAAGACGATATTTTGCGGCCCACTACATGACAGAAAAGTTTAGTGTTAATGCGTGGGCGTTTCCCCCATTCTCAAATCTATAACTTGACTCTCCGCGACGGTTTCAGTCGAATCTCACCGACTAGTCTAATTCTGATTTTTTTTTTTTATGTTTCTCTATATTTTTGTATGCCAGGTCTCTGGCAACAGTGAGTAGTGCTTGAGAACCCTTAATGATTTGTTTGTTATTTATAATGGTTGAGCAGATTGGAACAGTTGTAATCGCTTTTTTGTGGATTACTTGATGCAGCCCACTCTCATTCAGACACTACCTCCTGTGCCCCCCTCCCCCCATGATTTGAGTTTGAGACCCTTGATCTAATGAATACTTTGGATTTTACCATTTTAATATAAAAGTAATTTAAATTGCTTTACAATTTTTTTTTAAAAATTAGTAAGGTACGGTAGGAGAGAATTTGGCAAAAATTGGGGGGGGGGAGGTGAAATTAATGCAAAATATTATTTTTTTAAACAGGGTCTCTAAAAAATGTGGTTCTAAAAGATCGCTTAATTTGTTTTTAAAGATCGTTTAGTTGGTTGTTATTGATCGGTTAGTTTATTCTTAAAGATCGTCTAGTTTGTTGTTAAAGATCGCTTAGTTTGTTGTTAAAGATCATTTAGTTTGTTGTTAAAGATAGTTTAGTTTGTTGTTAAAGATTGTTTAGTTTGTTGTTAAAGATCCTTTAGTTTGTTGTTAAAGATCGTTGAGTTTGTTATTAAAGATCGTTTAGTTTGTTCTTAAAGACCGTTTAGTTTGTTGTTGAAGATCTTTTAGTTTGTTCATAAAGATCGCTTAGTTTGTTGTTAAAGATCGCTTAGTTTGTTGTAAAGATCACTTAGTTCTTTCATAAAGATCACTTAGCTTGTTTTTAAAGATAATTAATTTTGTTCCTTAAGATCGATTAGTTTGTTCTTAAAGATCTTTTAGTTTGTTCCTAAAGAACATTTAGTTTTCCCTTAAAGATCGCTTAGTTTATTCTCATAAATCATTTAGTTTACTATTAAAGATCATTTGTTTTGTTCTTAAAGATCATTTAGTTCGGTCTTAAAAATCGTTTAGTTTGTTCTATTAGATCGTTTAGTTTGTTATTAAAGATCGCTTATATTGTTCTTAAAGATGGCTTAGTTTGTTTTAAAGATCGTTTAGTTTGTTCTTAAATGTCCCTTAGTTTGTTGTTAAATATCGTTTAGTTTGTTCTCAAAGATCGCTTAATTTGTTCTTAAATGTCGCTTAGTTTGTTGTTAAATATCGCCATCGCTGAGTATTAAAATGACCGAAAACATGAGTCACTTACGGCCGAAAGTCTAAGTCGATTTCGGCCGAAACCGAAGAAAAACCGAAAGTTAACTTTTACTTTCGACCGAAACCGAAATTAAGCCGAAAGTTAACTTTTCAGTTTCGGCCGAAACCGAAACTTGGCCGAAAGTGATAAAATGGCCACTTTCGGCGCCGAAACCGAAGCCGAAATTCGGGCGGTCTCTACTCTCATTACAACAGTTGCAAGAAAATTTTTATGATTCAAAGAGGCGTCTTTACATTGGTTTAATACACTTGACAAAGGCATTTGACTTTTTGAACCTGAGAGGATTGTTCTGTGTCATGCTTAATATTGGTTTTCCCCCCAGAACTGCTTACAATCATAATTTCATTTCTCAAAAACATGCACAGAACAGTCAGTTTCAAAATGTTGCAGTCTCAGAGGCATTCTTGGTCAGCAGCCGAGTAAATAAAGGTATTTGCACCAGACACTTACCCATCTTATTCCTCAATGCTTCTTCAGTATGCCTTCAAGGACTGCAAAGAAGGAGTTTAATTTAAAGACCAAGATTAAAAAAGGGGCTAATTCACGAACTGCTGTTCGCCGACTGTGCCGCCTTATCACACATGGAAGGGGGACTAAATAGGCTAATAGATCACAGAGCCAAATTTAGCCTAACAATATTTTATTAAGGATATAAAAATATCACCAGTATGTTTCGCTCGGTTTTGTCATACTAATGCTTTGTGTTTCCATAAATAGCGGGCTAGATATTCCTGTAGTAATAGTTAGCCTAGTACCAACTCATTAGTCTTATGTGCTGGTGACGTAATATTTTGTTTGGTGACGGCTCTCATTGGTGGGGGGGTGGGCGGAAATATATTTTAACCGGGTCTCTTAATATTATGGCACTGACGTGTCTCGGCCTTAAAACGTAAAAGACATCTCACAGGTCTGCATTAAGCTTACCACATCATTTATACGAACCGGTGATTCATGCACAATGTTAATGTGTTATTTTCTCAATAAGAATGTTTATCAGCATGATAATGACAAACAGCAATAAATTAATGATTTGAATAAGTCTAATGTTCCTTAATTTTTATTTTAACAAATAAAACAAAAATACTATGACCATTCCCTGAGATCATTCAATATTGTTTGACTATGACAACATTTATCAGCATAATAATGATACAACAAAATGAATTGTATAAATCTAGGTTTCCCAAAATTTATTTTTAAAAAAAAAAATAAATTAAATCGATATTATAAATATTACCATGCCCGTATTTTTTTTCTCCAAAAACCTATTATGTTTGCTTAAGCCTAATTGAAAATTAATTTTTGGGACATATAGGACAAGTAGCTCATCATGTAGCTGTGAGCTGTTTTCCTCAAGGAGTTGGCCTAGTCGTAGAAAATACGATGAAAGCAAAACGTCGAGCAATAATGAATATCGGATTGCCGGCCTTAAGTCAGACAGTCTGACTTCTTTTACATGACCGAAATTCTCAATCACTTTCGGCCGAAACCAAAAAAAAAACTGAACGTTAACTTTTATGTTTTGGACGAAACCAAAAATAAGCTGAAAGTTAACTTAAAAGTTTCGGCTGAAACCGAAACGAGGCGGTAAGTGATTTAATGGCGACTTTTCTGCGCTGAAACTGAAATTCAGTTGGTCTCTACCCTATATAACTTCCTTCTGTGTCCATCCAGGGGTTTTATGCAATATTTGAATTGCTGACGTCAAGTCGTTTTGCCTCCCCCCATCCCGCCAGCTAACAAATTGTCCAACTTTTTCCAACTCCTCTCCCCCTATTTTGATGCCCCAAAGAGACAACGTAAGTAGAGTGATCAAAAGACATCACCAGTCTTTGAGCCAAGGTGGTGTCATGAGATTTAAAGGTTTTTATTATTTTTTTTGTCTTTGTTTTTGTGTGTGTGTGTGTGTGAAATATAGGTACCGGTACAGATAATACAAATTTATTTCCCGAATGGTTGTCATTTGGTCATCGCCGCGCTGCTTATGATTTTTTTAGTGTATCTCGGACATCCACCCCCCCCCCCCCTCCAATTATATATTTTAACAATTCCCTTTCTGCTGTATTCAAAATCATTTTGATATACCTCAAAAAAAAAAAAAAAGACTCTTAATTAGCAAGTTATAATAAAGGGACTATTTTTTTTTTTGTTTCTGCTTATGAAAATGTCGAATAAATCGGATCCTTCTTTGAACACCAATTAATTGTTACTTATTTTAACCAACTGTCCCAAGGCTGGCTTAGATTTATTAACAAATAAATTGAAATGATAAAAATGTTTTATGATGAAAATTTTCAACTTTCAATATTATTGTGTAACAATAGTTCTGATGTTAAATGGTTAATAGTGGCCACATAAGAACCTATTGTAACTTGCTCAAACCTGAGATGTAACTCTACCTTAAAAGCACATAGGAAAATCTTAGGAACTTTGAAAACAAATGTTGCGACAATTTTTTTTTGAAGATAAATGAAATGATCTAAAAGGAACACATTGCCTGCAATGAAATAGCCTCTAAAGTTGTTTTTGTTTGGCAATCAAAGTTTTGAATTAGTCAGATCAAATCCCCTATTTATAGCCTACTAGCTATAAATTGTTTAGATGATTATGAGTTGCGAGACCTGTAAAAAAAAAATGGCCAAGCTAGAGGTCGATTGTGAGAAACATCATTTTCTTAACTTTAAATTTGTTTTTATTTTGTTTTTCAATATTTCAATTGTTTTACACATTAAACAAGCACGCATTAATTCTAAATAACTTATTTGTGTTGATCTCTTGTGATACCAGATAAATGTTCACACAATTTTAACCTAGAGATGGTGTTTTCATTTCAGGGCACATAAAGAAAAAAACGTTTAGAATACCACCAAAAAAAACAAAACAAAAACAACCGTTCAGAATACAAAACAAAAAAACACCAGCAAACATTCAAACCATTTACCAAATTATATGTAATAAACAGGTGTTGTCAGAAGTTCACTTTAACAAAGAATATGATAAGAAAACCTACATCCTGGTACCCATCGGTGCTACCGTACAAGTGGAAACATGTCAAGGTAGTTTACTGTCAGCAATTTCTAACTAAACCAAATTAAGTCAGTTAATTAAATAATTGTTTCTTGGTTTGTTTTAAGACGGGAAAAGGAAAAATTAGCACTTTTGAAATGCGATAAAAGATTCTTTATTTTTTTATTCATTCTCTATGCTGTTCCCATGACTGTCCCAAGGGCCTGGGATTAATCTTGTAAGAGTTGACCCCTCCCCCCCACAATCCCTATCCCTTATTCCCGCCCACCGTATTCCATAAAAGAAAAATTATGAACTATTTAATGCCTATAAAGAGATTTATGCTCCTATATAAAATTATAAAGATAATGTATCAATTAGAAATCCACTCAGATATCCACTTTGATAAACCCCGCTTCCACCACCTTATTTATTTTTAAATCTTTCAGACCTACAAACAACGTTATCAACAAGTACTCCTGGCTCACCAAGTACACCTGAATCAGTAAGCACTCCTGGATCACCAAGCACACCAGAGAGCACTCCAGGGTCACCAAGCACACCAGGTTCACCTAGCACTGTTGAAACCCCAAGCACACCAGGATCACCAAGTACACCAGAATCTCCAAGCACACCTGGTTCACCAAGTACTCCAGGCTCATCAAGCACACCAGAGTCTCCCAGTACACCAGGGTCACCAAGTACTCCAAGTTCTATAAGTACTCCTGGCTCACCAAGTACACCTGAATCAGTAGGCACTCCTGGATCACCAAGCACACCAGAGAGCACTCCAGGGTCACCAAGCACACCAGGTTCACCTAGCACTGTTGAAAGCCCAAGCACACCAGGATCACCAAGTACACCAGAATCTCCAAGCACACCTGGTTCACCAAGTACTCCAGGCTCATCAAGCACACCAGAGTCTCCCAGTACACCAGGGTCACCAAGTACTCCAAGTTCTATAAGTACTCCTGGCTCACCAAGTACACCTGAATCAGTAGGCACTCCTGGATCACCAAGCACACCAGAGAGCACTCCAGGGTCACCAAGCACACCAGGTTCACCTAGCACTGTTGAAAGCCCAAGCACACCAGGATCACCAAGTACACCAGAATCTCCAAGCACACCTGGTTCACCAAGTACTCCAGGCTCATCAAGCACACCAGAGTCTCCCAGTACACCAGGGTCACCAAGTACTCCAAGTACTATAAGTACTCCTGGCTCACCAAGTACACCTGAATCAGTAGGCACTCCTGGATCACCAAGCACACCAGAGAGCACTCCAGGGTCACCAAGCACACCAGGTTCACCTAGCACTGTTGAAAGCCCAAGCACACCAGGATCACCAAGTACACCAGAATCTCCAAGCACACCTGGTTCACCAAGTACTCCAGGCTCATCAAGCACACCAGAGTCTCCCAGTACACCAGGGTCACCAAGTACTCCAAGTACTATAAGTACTCCTGGCTCACCAAGTACACCTGAATCAGTAGGCACTCCTGGATCACCAAGCACACCAGAGAGCACTCCAGGGTCACCAAGCACACCAGGTTCACCTAGCACTGTTGAAACCCCAAGCACACCAGGATCACCAAGTACACCAGAATCTCCAAGCACACCTG